GGGAGGGAGGGAGGGAGGGAGGAAGGGAGGAAGGGAGGAAGGGAGGGAGGGAGAAGAAAGAAGTACAACAAGATGGCCATGAGTGAGGGCGCTTGCTGTCAAGCCTGGTGACCTGAGTTCCATCCTCAGAACCCACGAGGTGGATGGAGATATCTCACTCCTTAAAGCTGTCCTCTGACCTCCACATGTGCATGTGGCGCAAGCATGCCCCATGTAAGAAATAAATCAAGCTAGGAATAAGAGGGAGGAAAGGAAGGTGCGAATGGTAAGGAAGGGAAGAGGGAGAGGAGAGCACAATGGTATTTGTACAGTATGGCTTCTGTGTAATTAAAAAAAATTAAGGTCATTATCTGTACTGCAGGTTGGGTGCTGTTGCTGCTGGCAAAAAAAAACAAAAAACAAAAACAAAAAAAAAAAAAACAAGAAAGCACGAGAAGGGACCATCCTCACATGAATGAAAATGACTGAGGAGGCTGGATAATTTCAGGGTCCAATGGATCATGACAGCAGATGAAATTGAATCGCTCAGGGTGATGGTGGAGGGACACGCTGTCATCTATTTTTCTTAAAAGAGACAAAACGCTAGTGACTTTTGCTTAGAGCTGCTTCCCAGACAGGTGTCAGGGATAAAGCATCGCTTATGTGCTGGCCTGGTGCACACACGCATGCATGCACACACATGTACATGTGTGTGTATATGTGGGTGTGTGTGGAGGTAAGAGGAAAACCTCCAATGCTATTCTTCAGGTCTTATCCATCTAATTTTTCAGACAGGGGTCATTCATTAACCTAGAACTCATCAAGTAGGCTAGGTGGATCTTCCAGAACCTGCTTCCACAGCACTGGAGTGACAGGGTACATCACTGTGCCTGGCTAGGTTTAGTTTTTTGTTTTTTACATGGGTTCTGGAGAATCAAACTCAGGTCCTTCACCACTGAGATATCACCAGCCCTATCTTCTTGTTTACGTTCGTGGACAAAGCAATTGAGGCTTGGAGAGATATGACATAGCCCAAGGCACACAGACTGGGGCATGCAAACCAGGACTGTGTGACAAAACCCACATGGTCAGAGGCAGATGACGATGACAGAAAATGTGGTGATGGAGCCTGAGCGCACTGCGCCTGGAAGCATCCTACAGCTGAGCTATCACTCCACTCTGACAGAAAAGGCTCTACTCTACATCACTGATGACACTTGATTCTCAATTCTGGAACCCTTCTGTAGCACCAGGATCAAGCCCAGGCCAGCCTTGTGATGATGAACATCTCATGCCCTCAGCTGACATCCAGTTGACCATGGGACAGTTGAGAGAGTGACACCTTCCTTGGTCAGTCACGACCCACAGGGTCAGCCACGACCCACAGGGTCAGCCCAGGCAGGAAATCTACCCAGCCTTCCCCAGAACCATGAGAAATGAAAAGTAAGGCTCCAGCCATTAGTGTTAGGGGTGGCTTGTTATGCAGCAAAAGCTGACCCATACATCCTTCATTAAGGATCAGAGATCATCTTACCTGGGAGGGTAGTAGGGGTCAAAGGTGTGGCCATCGCCCATGCTGAGCACGCAGGACAAGTTTCCAGTGTAAGGAAAAAGGAGCCACACCAGGGAGATGGTGACATTGTCAAAGGTGGAGCTCTCGCTGGGCACCACCAGCCGCAGGCCTGCAGACCGAAGCATGATGTTTTGCGAATTTGTGAGCCAAAGATGTGTGTTAAGACTCACTTCCTTCTATCCATGTGGCCCCTACTTTTATATAAGCCTTTTTGTTTCATTTTGAGACAGCGCCTCCTTACATAGCCCTGGCTGATCTGGAACTCACTCTGTAGACCAGGCTGGCCTCAAACTCACAGAGATGCACCTGCCCCTACCTCCTGATTATTTTTATTTTTGAAAGATTTATTTATATG